CGGAAGAAAATGGATGGATGGATGGATGGATGGATGGATGGATGGATGGATGGAAACAGTTCTTTTATTTTAATGATTATGTCCTGCTGGAGTGTGACATGGTTTGTGTGTGTACAAACTAACACTGTATCAGAATTTTATAAATTTATTCTTCTCATTTAACCACAATTAAATTAACTCTATCTAGGAGGCACAATTTATATGGATAGTATTTATTTTTTACAATAACAATCTGGAATGAAAACAAGCAAAAATGAAATAAAAGTAACAACTTTCTACTTCCTTTTTCTAATGAGTAGAAAGTACAGATAATTGCGTGGCAATGTTTGTAAGAAGTAGTAAAACGTAGGCTGAAAAATAATTACTCAAGTAAAGTACAAATACCCAAAAAGTCTACTGAAGTACAGTATTTGTACTAACAACTCTGGTAAATCCCAATAAATGAATGACTGATGGGTGTTCAACACCAACAAGCTGTAGCGTTCAGCTTGTGAACATCTTTCACCACTAGAGGGCATCGTTGCACAAAAAATTCACAAATCACACATTAATCCACTGTTGGGCTCTGAAGGACGCAACCCTGCGTGATTAAACCGCTGCAGTGCGTCGCTTTCAAMACACAAGAGACAACCGACTAACTAATAAAGCGGCGACTGGCAGCAAAAACAAACACAACATGTATGCGGGACGATTCCTCTACTAGAACAACACACTCCATGGAAACTRAACACAACGCAACACCCGCCTCTTTAAGACCAACCATTGGCKCAACACAAACACTTCTAGCTCCGCCTCTACGAGCTGTGATTGGTCAGAGCTGCTGTGTGTCAGGAAGGAAACACGGAAAGGAGCCCAAAAAAAAAAAAAAAGTTCTGGAGCGAATCCTGGTCGGATCATGTCTGCTGGCCGCTGCTGAGGAGAACTTTTAGCACCAAACACCTCCTGCAGGAGCCAGGAGAAACACGAGGAGGGGAGCTCGGAGCGCAACGTGCGGGTGGATGTGAGGGGGACCTGGTCGGAGCCGGGGGGCCCGGTGTGTTTGTTCGGTTTCCAGGGGAGGGGGGAGGCTGGTTGATGTCACCACAGAGAGGAGGAGGAGGAGGAGGACAGGTGCGAGGAGGCAAAGTTTATTCTCCGTGGACGAGGATGTGTCACTAAGAAGGAGACGGTGCTTGAAGTTTCCCAGGTTTTTTTTAGTTGTTCTTTTTTATTTTTTATTTTTGAACTGAAAGAAGGATTTAATTAAGCGTTTGGATCCAGAAGGTTGTGCTGCGACGAGACGATCTGTTTGTGTCCCGACAGGATTACAGGCTGAGGGGGGTTTGAGACGCCCCCAGCTCTCCGCTTCACTGCGGCACCGACACARCGGACTCACAACATTTCCCACTCAGAGTGGGAGCTTAAAGAAATGTTTCTTTTAGCCACCCTGGGATGTCCTGAAACACACAGCGTWGAGCTTAACTTCTGTAATTCGCGGTGATTTGCGCGTGCGTCATTACGTTCTGAGGGTCTCTGAAGGACGTGTTGTTGACTCGCTGCTTTTCTGGCCCCCCCAAAATGTCCAAGACCCTGAAAAAGAAAAAGCACTGGTCCGCCAAGGTGCAGGAGAGCACCGTGTCCTGGGGAGGCACCGGGGACCTGACCGCCGTGCTGGAGGTGCGTGGCGGCGCGGAGCTCGGACAGTTCCCCCACGTCGGGCGTGTGCTGTCCGAGGCGGCGGTGTGTGAGGCGGGGAGGCTCCCCTGCAGCGGCGACGTGCTGCTGGAGGTCAACAGCACTCCGGTGAGCGGACTCACACACAGGGACACGCTGGCGGTCATCCGACACTTTCGGGAGCCCGTCCACCTGAAGACCGTGAGACCAGGTGAGTGTCAACATACAGTGGCGTGCACAGACACTGGTGTGTGTGTGTGTGTGCTTAAGTGGGGGGAAAGAGCACATTGTGCTATATAGT